ATCAAAATAGACTCAATAATAAGCACAACAAATTAATTTAAAATTTCAACAAAATTAACATGGGCCTTATTGGTTGCCATGATGGGGACAAAATAACAACGAAATATAAACAGAAAATCAAAACAAATGGTAAAAATTTCAATCACATGTTTTATTTACAGCGTGGAGTGAAAATAGAGAAGTATGTGGTCGAGTCTTCGACCACGGGACGACCTTCCACCATGGGGACGACCTCTAGTTTAAATGAAAGCTAGCAATAAACAACAATCAACTTTTAAACTAACGGACGACAAAAACAGCAGACACAACAAAACCAGTATACAGACTACTTTAAAATCAAGTCTTCTTTAAAAAACAAGATAAATAATAAAACTAATTATTTAAAATAGCTTTTAATATTTTTCAGATGCCAACTGGCATTGGTTGGTATGAAACAAAACATAAAGGCTTGACTTGTAAACATGTTGTTAAAATCTGAGCCACATTTACGGTATGCTAATTTTAAATTCTACAAAATGTGCCCCAGTTTTGAGCAATACAAGTATGTTCCAACTGTTTGACTGTATATGATTCAGTAATGTTCACACTCCCATGTGGTCTAGTGGCTAGGATATCTGGCTTTCACCCAGAAGGCCCGGGTTCGATTCCCGGCATGGGAAAGACTTTTTGCCCTGGTTAAATTTAACAATCAATAATTCTGTAGATTTAATTAAATATTTTATCATTTTTATCAATGTTTAAAGATTTTATCTTACAAATCTTTTACCAAAGTTATGCAAAGTACTAGCATAGATGAAGTATTATAATTATATTACATTACTTACTCTATTAAACTACTTCATCCATGGTACTAGTTATCTAACAAATACTTAAGGTTGCACTTGGAAGCAATCTGGTTTCTATAGATTATAGTTATTTAAAAATCTAAAACTTATCACGAATAATTATTAAAACTAGTTTAACGTATGCTATTTCATACTGACCTTATATAAGTCTCTATTGAATTCAGACTGTCAGTGTTATGTACTTTTCCATTTGTAGTCTTACTGTCGTGTAACAATTACCTAATATTTTCGTAATAATTGTTTCAATATAAGACGTTACTATCTAAATTTATTCCCTAATCTAAATTTAAATACCCCCGCCGCAGCAAACCTGCAGACTAAGCGAATTTCCATTTGCCTGATTGGATTTACACTGAAATGTCTACTTAAAAATATAACATTTATTCCCTATTCAAATAGAATTAGTTTAACAAGTACTTAGGTTTGCTGCATCAGGGAGGGTAAAACTGTTTTTTTTTTTTGTAAAATGTTAATAGTTAGTAAGAAATAAAAACATTTTCCAAATTTGATCAAAATATGTTCATAAACAAGCAAACTACAACAGTTTACTTATTCTCCATAAGAATAACATGGGAATTTTAAATTTACAATTTTTTGGAATTTTCTCCGTAACCATTAGGCGCATAATAACGCTTCAATATACTAAATTATTTGTTTTTTTAAGCTCTAAAAAATGGTTTGGAAATAAATTGCTTTATTTTATGTTTTTTGGGTCAAAAATGGGAAAAACCTATTTTTACCCCATAAAACCCCCCGTAAACCCCCGTTCCCATGGTCCGATCATGCTGGATCGCGAACTCGTTCAAATAAACGTAGGTTTACACGTTTGTACCAAATTTCATCAAAATCGGATCATTTTTGCTCGAGTTATCTTGCTAACGGACACATATATATATATATATATATATATATAAATATATAAATATATAAATATATATATATATATGAATTTGAACGGATGGTGTTTTTGGCCTCTAGGGACCTCAAAACGAAAAAAAAAATCTGTCCCCCGTCCAGGTCTTACCATGAGTACTACGGTAATAGCTTATTCCCTATATGGGAAATTCGCTAAAACACGTTTTTTGATAGTTTTCATTTTGCATGTTTACAAAAGTTACCACAAGAAACTTATATAAAATTTTAAATACTCAATGAATGACATAAATACCCTAAACGAAGTGGAAGTTTACATTTAATGTTTAACATTTAATAAACTAAAAGGATTTCTTATACACTAAATTATCACCAAGCACATTGCAAACCAAATACCAAGTCGTTGTTGTGTGTCATTGTTAAGTCAATGTTACTAAAGAGCAACTTAGAAGGCAATACTCGAAGCACTAAAGACATGATGAAAACCAATACTCGTTCGGTAGTTATTACAGAATTATTCCGTAGAATTAAAGATTTAGAACCCCCAATAAAAAGTTTGAGTTGTTACTTTTTATTTACAAAATCTTACCTTTAAAAACCACATAAACAATAAAATTTCTCCCACACTGTTAAATGTAAACGCCAGAGTTTGTTAAAGTAGTATTGGGTGTTCTGAAAATAATTTAACAAACTTCTTACGAAACTAGAGAAGGTTCTTATCCTCAATAAGTTAAACCTTTTGTGAAAAAATAACCGTATTTTAATTCCCACTTGGATTTGTAGTTTAATAATTTACGTACCTAGTATTTAGTACTGCGAAACATTTGAGCTAACTTGTTACTGAGTCAATCGGTCTATCTGTACGGGGATATTGTAATCAGTTGAAACCTTCTTATATTCAGAACAGCAGTTGGTTTGCATATTAAGTGTGAATTTTGCCAGATATACAGGCAAAACTATTATAGGAATACACATAAAAGTTCGCAAAGATCTGAAAATTACAAGCAAAAAACAAAACAAAAAAAACAAAAGATGCTGGATTTAAATCGTTTTAGTCTATATTTTGTAACAATGCTTGAAATAAAAAGAAACAGCTTTATAGATCAAAGAGGCCCTAAGGTAGGCCTTTAATTGAGAGCTACTTTCCACTATGGTTAAAAGTAGTTAAAATACTACCTCCTCAACCTCATCATTGTTCACTTAATTCCGGTTGACATTTGTATTAACAAAGGTGCTCCTGTCTTTTCTGTGAAACACTGAGAAATAAGGTAATGATGCGTTACCAACAGACATACACACAAAAATACTGAATTGGATTAGGACATTCGCTACGCTTTAACTAAAGCAAAATACATTTAAAATTAGTATTTGAAATGTTAGTGTCTTCAAATTTTATCATAATCGTGCAGTAATAACAATAATGCCGTCCGTAATAACAATTTTTTTAGTTCGAAGATGACCCAAAATGGTGTAGAAATGACTGCATACTATATGAAATGAAGTACTACAGACGATTTAGATCGGTAAGTTACAATACACAGGCCACGAACTATTGAAAGGCTACGTAAAAAACGTAAAGCGTAAACATGATGGCTTGCTAAAATTTGTTCACTCAAATGTGTGTTAACAATAATTATCATAGTATAAATTAACATTTTGAAATCCATACAGACTCAAAGCTTATACAGTAAGACATCAATAATTAAATTTATTATAGCTGTAGGGAATACGGCGCAACACCAACGGTAACTAAGTTGTAAATACAGTAGTGATAAATACAGTTCGTCAAAAATGATTCTTGCTACCACCGGTTCTAAAAGTACCAGAACCAAAAACCAACATTTACAGTTAAAAACTATAGTATACTTCCGAATAATTAAATGCGTTAATCAAGTCACAAAGTATCCCTCCCTCCCTTGGTTTTTGGACTTACTCAAAACGTTATAGGAAATGAAAGTTATTTCCCATTATTGCATTATTTGTAAACCACTTTTAATGTAAACGTATCGGTGACAGTTTGAAGAAACAACCTTTATCAAAACAACGGTTTGTTATTTAATATAATAGATGGCGCATTCTCTAAGCAATGATTGGTATATCACATTAGGAGGAAATATGACACAAATCGCATAATATTGGGGTTTTTAACGTTTGTAATTTAGTAGGTAGTCCTGGGAAAAGTACCAGTATCAAGAATCGTCATCGATATGTAGCTATGGATGATTGGGTACTAAATTAATTAATGTAATCATATAAGTGACTGCTAGAAAAAAATATAATCGCTATCCAAACACCTTTTCGTTATTTCATAGATGACGTAATGTGGTAAATATTGGAGAAACAATTGAAAAAATTGCATAAAATTGGGGTTTTGAAGGTTCATTTTTTATTTCCAAAGTAGTTAGGCCATATTTTAATAGCCAAAAACATCTCACCAATCCAGTGAATGCGGGAAATGATTTGATTCTTGATCGGTACTCTAGTTTTATTGAAGTATGCCGCGTAAATTGGCATTTTTGTGTTAAAGACTCAATGACAGGTGGACAGACAGACATACAGACAGAAATTGAGAAAAGACTCGTTTCATCTTTCTAAAGCTGGAGAATGGAGACACATAGAGGAATAGAAACCCAGTACATACAATACTATATCAACAATTGGCCACTCCCCAGGCAAACTGTGGGTCAGGAGACAGGTTCCATCATACAGAGTATAGGCATTGGGCCAGTTAAAAGACGTGTCTTAAATTGAGGGGTGATGTAAACTGTTTCCCATCGTCTACCTAGAACCTGGGCCTTTAAACCTTTGGGCAGTCCCAGCATAGACTAAGCAGAGTATGTTTTATCTATGGTCCCGAGACAGGCATCATTATTCAGAGTATAGTATTGTGATTAGCCAGTTAAAGATATGTCTAATATTGAGTGATGATGGAAACTGTCTCATGACCATATTCCTATACCAGACCATACTGTCTGCCTGGGACTAACCCTTAAACCATTGACCATTCCATGTAGCCTAAGGGTCAGGAGACAAGTTCCACCGTACAGAGTATAGTTTTGTAAATGGCCTTCAAACCATTGGCCAATCCCAAGTAGACGAAGGGTCAGGTGACAGGCTACATCATACATAGTATAGTTACATAGGACATATCTGTTGAGGAGTGAGCGTGCTCCAGACAATAGGGCAGATGTGATGAGTCAGTGAGTAGCGATGACGGAGGGATGATGAGGTGTGGGGGAGGGTAGAAGGGGGTGGCGACGCTCTTCAGTCGCATCTCAGCGTCGCTACAGCACACATCTACGACGTCGACGTCGGGCGCTTCACATTACGTCGCTACGTACGTACACCACGTGCTACCCCCAACCCTGTAGAGCAATATGGCGTTATGTGCTTCGTAAAGGTCCATAAAGCTTTTAACTTGTGCAATAAATCATTATTTATTTCTATAATCAAAATTGAGACCTAATATTTACTTGACTTTTGTCATCAATTTACTACCACCCCTGTGAATTAAAAATCGTGTTGCCTTTTGTTAAAAAAAAAAACACTTTAAAGTTAGTATAGTGTTTTTCTTTTACCACTGACGACTTATTGAATATTATCAAAAGTAATAAAACATTAGATATCTTTACTACATATAACAATGATCTTTATATTTCTAGATACACTCCCGCACATGTATAGGCTATGCAATAGGATGTTGAGTTTTGTGAAAATTAAAAAGTTTGTATACAGTTTTATAAGTAATGGTGAGAGGTATTAAACATTCTTTTAAATATTTAAAATTGAGACAACCCCATTAGTTTTACGTATAAAATTGCTTATTAGTTTACTCCTATCCCAGTATATTCAATGGGGTGTTTCGTATTTAATCAAAGTTAAAAATTATACAATGTTCAATTTCTAGTGACGTATATCAAGTATCATTCAAAATAATAATAATTTCACCACGATTATAAATATTAAATAAAATACTGATAGCTTTGCTGATTGTTTTACTTCCACCCGCACGGGTCACCGTAGGGGTGTCTTCTAAAAGTGGGTGTAGGCACCGAGGCTGTATCTAAAAGTTTATAGTAGTTTACGCAACGATTGCGTAAATATAGTGTTAACGGCACGAGTAGAAAATTTAAGGTACGAGCCTTACACTATTTACGCGAGTTGCGTACACTACTTTACCTATGACAGTGTTTAAATTACTAAAAATCACTACTCATAACTTCTAAGAGAGGTTATGTTATGTTTTCGTTTATAACTTCTCATTACCACTGACAGTGATGCAACTAAACATTGTGTCAAACACTAATTAATTGCACCACTCAACAATTAAATTGGCCTGAACAGCTGATTAGTTGAAGTTCGAATCATTACAATTTTACTTCTTCTCTCTCAATCCTTGAACCTCATTGGTCCATTACCCGTGTTGTTTTGATTAAAACTATGCTGTTATGAAAGTAAACAATGCTGTTATGGGAATTTTTTTTATTTTAAGAACTGAACTGAAACCACCACTTTAAAAAACGGTCGTAGGTAAAATGTTACAAAACATTAGAGAAATACAATAAATATTAATTAGTTAATAAAATAAAAGTGGCTTCTCCTTCTTATTTACTATAACTATAAGTTTTTATGATTGTAAGGGAGGGCATACAATTTAAATAGCTGTTTCCTTCTATTTTAAGCAATTAAGTTAGTCTATAATAAGACAATATGCTAAAATTAATACTTTCGAGAAGTTCTGGTGAAATCGAAGTGATGTAGTTTTGAGTACGATTCCTCAGGTAAAGCTGAAAAGGTTTCTATCTAAAGTTTTTTTTTTTTTTTTTTTTTTTTTTTTTTTTTTTTTGTAGTAGTATTTAGAGTACAATATTACTTCTTAGTTGTTGATTTGCATTACAGCTATATCAGTATATTGCACAACATCTTATAAGTGCATACGATATGCTTTTAGGTATTTGTAAAAGTGTATGCAAAGTGTGTTTTGATTGCTGACTGGATGCATACAACAAAATATTAATAAAAGTAGTTAAACTGAGACAAAACTATTGTTTACTTTCAACTTTGAGTGTTCGTTTTTTGGAGGCCGGAGTTCGTGCACCAATGTTATGCATTTTTACTCAATTTAAAATAAATAGGCTAGATAAACTTCAAATGGGACATATATTTTTATCAATATCTTTTATATATTTCTTTTAAAGCGAATTGATTTCACCGATACACTACTAAACAGATTTCGATTATTTTATTCAGTAGAACAGGCTTACTTATTATAAAATGCTAATTGCAGCTATTTCAGGTTATAGCCCTCTTTTCTCTGTATAATTGAAAAGCTTATAAGAAATTAATTCAAACAATTCACTTAAGGTTTCACCTCACGGGCCTTATTCGCTCTTTAAGATATCTTGGTTAAACTTAATTTCTGAAAACATACACAATACAAATAAAATTTATTTTTATTTTGTAATTTCCAAGATTTTAGTAGCAAACTAATATCCTAATATACTACCTATAGAAATTTTGGTTGGTAATGATTATTAATTTACCTAAAACTCTTGGCCAGCCAGTTTGTTTCTTTAACATTTTTATATAGGTTTTATTGACGCACAGCGATAAGATGCCCCATCAACATGCAATTATGCATGAATGTGATTATGTGATGCAGACATTGGAAATTGCCGAGATGCAGACATATGCTTATGCAATGAAACATTTGTTCACATAAGTTAGAAAAGTTCGTAAATGAATGTTTATACCACAGCGTAGAATGGTTAAGACTAGCCTACAGTTAGTCAAGTCCATAGGTGATGGAGGGTAAAGTAAAACTAGGGACTCTAAATAAATTATTCTCAGTTTTCTCTTTCTGAAACGAAATGGGGTATGGATCGATATGGGGCATAATCGAATTACGTCACTGGCCCGAAACCTATACTAATAACATGAACATTTGGACTTTTTACAGTTCCATTTAAATATTTATACGTAGGTGTTTACTTTCGAATGAACTATCTCATTTGTTTATGTTTATGATCCATAGAGTTTCTGTTGGAAATCGTAAGGAATTTATTGTTGCAACGTTTGGACCATATCAGTGGGAAGACGGTTTGAAATATCGTAAAGAATCGTAAAGAAATACGGTTATTCATCGTAAAGAACAAATTACCATTTAAAATAATAGTTGTTAAGCACAGTAACGCGCGCCGGGTAACTGTTAGTATCACATATTTGAAGGAAATACCAAGTGTGGACTTACCGATAACTGGTCAAGAGTCTTAACTCTTAAGAGATGTCTTAGGGTCGTCCTTGGACCCTAGACGTTCTAACTCATAAAATAATTAAAAAACTACAAAGATAATTTTATAATCTCACAATACATTAAATATTTAAATTACAATCACTTGGGTATATAAAATAATATTTTGGGATGGTAAATTCTCTCTCCACCGGCTGTTTGAAATTAACGTTGCTCTTATCCAGATCCAAAATGGCCGTTGACTTCCATGAACTCACTTTGGAAAACAATTCAAAACTAAAGATAACATTTACTATCTCACAAAGCCCTAGATATTTAAACTACACAATTTCAACCCTTTGGTGTTTGAAAAAATCTGATTTTCCCTTAATGTAAAGGTTTTTTTGGAAAATCATCATTAAATCTAAAAATATCTAAATCTGAAACAGAAACGCCTGGAGATAATATAGGTTTGTATTGTTTCCAAAAAATTTCACTATAATCAGCCCACAGGTTTAGTATGTAATGTAAGGCTGTACACATCCACACATAAACACACATACATCACATAAAACCACTGTTTTGGGTTTAGAAGCCAGAATTGATATTCCAAAACTCTAAAAAAACTAGACGAAAACTTCTGTTTCTCCATATATGTATAGGGCTAGAAAGTAAAAAGGATCGTAAAAGGAGTTAAGTTGTTTCTAAACAAGTTACAGTATGTTCTGAGATTCTCACAAAATGGGATGTTAAACACTATTAATTACTGGGTTCAGAGTTTACTGATATTATTATAGGAAACGCTGGAGTTCATTTTATTGCAATGAATTATATTTTATGGTATTGATCAAATCGGGATATATTTAGTGATATGTAACTGAGTGACTGAGTGGTTACAATTGAACATATTATATTTCTTCTCTGTCTACATAAAACATCAAACTGTTTAAAAGTTCCTAGACAGACATATTTTGGTCGTAAACAAAACGGGGAACTTATATTTTAATCAATTTCAAAAGTTATACGACAACGTCTAGATAGGATGGTGTCAAATTGAGCTGAGAAAAAGTAGGTTAAAAGACTTAGAAAATCTAACTCCGTCTAATCTAGTAATGACATCCAGAATTCTATCGTGTCCAGGATAATATGTCTTGACCAATTCAATAACTAAAACAGTTTTAATAAGTCAATGGTTAACTATTGAATAAGGGGGCTTAAAAAATTATAAAAGGCCTGCGCCTAACCTATACTCTTATACGAACAAAGTTTGCTTGTATGTATGTATGTATGTATGTATGTATGCTTGCACAAATATCTCGAACACGGCTTCGACTATTTCCTTCAAAGGTTGTAAATAATTTATTTCTGACCTAAACTAAGTTAAATATAGTTAAAACAGCAAATCAAAAATATAATTATGTAAAAAAAGAAAATTGAAAGTCACAATTTTTTAACATTGGTCTTATGGGTTGCTAAGTAACTATGTTGGTTGAACAAAATAACAAGGAAAAGGTAAACATAAACAAAAGACATGTAACATGTGTCTATAACAAAGCATCTACAGTATACTAGCAAATTACATTATACAGTTCAAGGGGAAAACAGCAGTTGTTACTATTGAGCAAAGATTACACTGAAAATTACTAGATATAGGGGTACAATGGAAGTAAACTATACCGAGCCATGGCTCGGTCCCCAGGCACTTGTTGGTTAAACAGTAACCCTGACGAATGTGTAAAATATATCACATTATTGTTCATGTAATGATTTAACTTTGAAATTAATAATTGACATAATTTGAATTTTGAACTTATTGGATAGTACTCCTTTAATGCATAAAATATTAATAAAGAAAATAAAATGTTAAAATTCTAAACGATTTCATCTATTGTCAAAGACCCATATTTTCATTACTATAATTATTCTAATATTGAAAATAAATTTTCGCTTGATACTAACTCGATGGATACTAAGAATTGAAACGTTGTGGCATCTCGTTTAACGAACAATTGTGCCTAACTAAAGCTCTAAGTACTATACTAGTTATATTCAATTTTTCTTCTTCGTTTAAAACCAATCATCAAAAATTTACTGTCAGACTGGCTGGG